ATAAGAATTCATACCATACATACATAATATATGCGAAGAAAAGTCCCGGCAAGTCGATACTATAAGATTTAAAAAAATTTCTCTTTCACATAATGCATTTCCTAGATGTTGTATTCTTGGTAGACGCTAAGATTTATTTATTTTCACTAATAGGAAACTGGGCTTTCGGCTCCTAAGTCAACTTAAAAAAACTATATTCGTATGAGTTTCGAGACTATCAGTAAATTAGTGTAATAAGATGTATTCACCCTATTTCGTGTAAGGTGATGAAGGACTAGTAGTAGAATCTTCCCACAATGATATGAGTTGAGCTGATGTTTCCATTCAATTTAACATAGCCTTGCTTTCCCAAAAGTTGAAACTGCAGTCCACCCTAGATGAGAACAACTTTTGGGAAAGCTACAATGTGAAATTCAATGGAAACATCAGCTCAACTCATATGATTGTGGGAAAATTCTACTACCAGTCCTTCATCAGCTTAGATGAAATAGGGTGAATACATTTCATTAAAAAAACTAGGCTGATTAACCTTTTTTTACAAGAATTAACGAAAGGTTCAGCAGCCAAAATATTCCCAGTGAGTATATTTTAATACTATTGGTATGTCCAACTTCGAAACTGACTCAAAATGCACATTCCTGACTCCCTCTCTCGACTGAGATCGAAAAAACCAGGCATACTTCTTGAGTGGGAAATAGGCACGAAAAACTTGCCTGATCCTCAATGGCTTAGTGTCCGCCTGTAGGCCTTGGGGGAAGCGTAGGATGATTCTGTCTCTCGTGGGCCTCTCGACAATCAAGTTCGGCGGCCTGGATACCACCTCCTGGCCGGAATCCTCATATTCAAGCAGTGGCCCAGTACCCGCGGGTCGGATCTGGCATTGCAGCTGCACCATCTGGCCCGGTTGGACACGGATTTCGCTGGGCATGAAAATGATGCTTTCGGGATCGATGCCAGGCGTTGGGGGCGATGGACGTGGTATCAGTCCTCCTGAAGAGAGCATAAAACCGAGAAGAGAATCAGAAAGCAGTACTCAAATGTGGTGGACGATAATATCTATAAATTGTTGAGTTTACTTCCATTTCGAGTGAAAGTATTGGTTGAAGAGATTCAAAGTTCGGTTCCACGGAAGATTCATACTGACACGGTTTCCGAGGCAATCTCCTTCGATTCCGGTGAAAAGGTGCTAAGCTTTCGTCTGTCATATGACGGACA